TGTGATCTATATTTTCATTTTCGTGTCCTATAACGATCCTGTTCTGTGACTACATGGCATATGACGATTCTGTGACCTTGGACAATTCTATAACCATATAACCTGGACTGCTCTGTGACCTTACAGGTATGGTACTGATCCATGTACAAACCCCAAACTTACAGGGATGCTACTGATCCATGTACAAACCTCAACCTTACAGGTATGGTACTGATCCATGTACAAACCCCGACCTTACAGGTATGGTACTGATCCATGTACAAACCCCAAACTTACAGGGATGCTACTGATCCATGTACAAACCTCAACCTTACAGGTATGGTACTGATCCATGTACAAACCCCAAACTTACAGGGATGCTACTGATCCATGTACAAACCTCAACCTTACAGGTATGGTACTGATCCATGTACAAACCTCGACCTTACAGGGATGGTACTGATCCATGTACATACCTCGACCTTACAGGTATGGTACTAATCCATGTACAAACCTCGGCCTTAAAGGGATGGTACTGATACTTGTACAAACCCCGACCTTACAGGTATGATACTGATCCATGTACATACCTCGACCTTACAGGTATGGTACTGATCCATGTACAAACCTCGGCCTTACAGGGATGGTACTGATACTTGTACAAACCCCGACCTTACAGGTATGATACTGATCCATGTACATACCTCGACCTTACAGGTATGGTACTGATCCTTGAACATACCCCGACCTTACAGGTATGGTACTGATCCATGTACAAACCCCGACCTTACAGGGATCGTACTGGTCCATGTACAAACCCCGACCTTACAGGTATGGTACTGATCCATGTACAAACCTCGACCTTACAGGGATGGTGCTGATCCATGTACATACCCCGACCTTACAGGTATGGTACTGATCCATGTACAAACCTCGACTTTACAGGGATGGTACTGATCCATGTACATACCCCGACCTCACAGGAGTGATACTGATACATGTACAAACATCGACCTTACAGGGATGATACTGATACATGTACATACCTTGACCTTACATGGATGATACTGATACATGTACATACCTCGACCTTACAGGGATGGTACTGATCCATGTACAAACCTCGACTTTACAGGGATGGTACTGATCCATGTACATACCTCGACCTTACAGGTATGGTACTGATCCATGTACAAACCTCGACCTCACAGGGATGATACTGATCCATGTACAAACCTCAACCTTACAGGTATGGTACTGATCCATGTACAAACCTCGACCTCACAGGGATGGTACTGATCCATGTACAAACCTCAACCTTACAGGTATGGTACTGATCCATGTACAAACCTCGACCTCACAGGGATGGTACTGATCCATGTACAAACCTCAACCTTACAGGTATGGTACTGATCCATGTACAAACCCCGACCTTACAGGTATGGTGCTGATCCATGTACAAACCCCAAACTTACAGGGATATGGCATATGACGATTCTGTGACCTTGGACAATTCTATAACCATATAACCTGGACGGTTCTGTGACCTTGGACAATTCCATAACCATATAACTGGCATATGACGATTCTGTGACCTTGGACAATTCTATAACCATATAACCTGGACTACTCTGTGACCTTGGACAATTCTATAACCATATAACCTGGACGGTTCTGTGACCTTGGACAACTCTATAACCATATAACCTGGACGGTTCTGTGACCTTGGACAACTCTATAACCATATAACCTGGACGGTTCTGTGACCTTGGACAATTCTATAACCATATAACCTGGATGATTCTGTACCCCGACCTTACAGGTATGATACTGATCCATGTACATACCTCGACCTTACAGGTATGGTACTGATCCATGTACAAACCCCAACCTTACAGGGATGCTACTGATCCATGTACAAACCTCAACCTTACAGGGATGATACTGATCCATGTATAAACCCAGGACAATTCTATAACCATATAACCTGGACGGCTCTGTGACCTTGGACAATTCTATAACCATATAACCTGGACTGCTCTGTGACCTTACAGGTATGGTACTGATCCATGTACAAACCTGTAAGGTTGAGGTTTGTACATGGATCAGTAGCATCCCTGTAAGTTTGGGGTTTGAACATGGATCAGTACCATACCTGTAAGGTCGGGGTATGTTCATGGATCAGTACAATACCTGTAAGGTCGGTGTGTGTACATGTATCAGTACCATCCCTGTGAGGTCGGGGTTCGTACATGGATCAGTACCATACCTGTAAGGTCGGGGTATGTTCATGGATCAGTACAATACCTGTAAGGTCGGTGTATGTATATGGATCAGTACCATCCCTGTAAGGTCGAGGTATGTACATATGGTTATAGAATTGTCCAAGGTCACAGAATCGTCATATGCCATATCCCTGTAAGTTTGGGGTTTGTACATGGATCAGTACCATGGTACTGATACTTGTACAAACCCCGACCTTACAGGTATGGTACTGATCCATGTACAAACCCCAAACTTACAGGGATGCTACTGATCCATGTACAAACCTCAACCTTACAGGTATGGTACTGATCCATGTACAAACCTCGACCTCACAGGGATGATACTGATCCATGTACAAACCTCAACCTTACAGGGATGATACTGATCCATGTATAAACCCAGGACAATTCTATAACCATATAACCTGGACGGCTCTGTGACCTTGGACAATTCTATAACCATATAACCTGGACGGTTCTGTGACCTTTGACAATTCTATAACCATATAACCTGGACGGTTCTGTGACCCTGGATAATTCTATAGCCATATAACTTGGACGGTTCTGTGACCTTGGACAACTCTATAACCACATGACCTATGACAATTCTGTGACCTTGGACAATTCTATAACAATATAACCTGGACGATTCTGGGACCTTGGACAATTCTATAACCATATAACCTGGACGGTTCTGTGACCTTGGACAACTCTATAACCATATAACCTGGACGGTTCTGTGACCTTGGATAATTCTATAACCATATAACCTGGACGATTCTGTGACCTTGGATAATTCTATAACCATATAACCTGGACGATTCTGTGCCCTTGGATAATTCTATACCCATATAACCTGGACGGTTCTGTGACTTTGGACAATTCCATAACCATATAACCTTGACTATTCTGAGTCCTTGGACAATTCTATAACCATATATCCTGGACGGTTCTGTGACCTTGGACAATTCCATAACCATATAACCTTGACTATTCTGAGACCTTGGACAATTCTATAACCATATAACTTGGACGATTCTGTGACCTTGGACAATTCTATAACCATATAATCTGGACAATTCTGTGACCTTGGACAATTCTATAACCATATAACCTGGACGGTTCTGTGACCCTGGATAATTCTATATCCATATAACCTGGACGGTTCTGTGACCTTGGACAACTCTATAACCACATGACCTATGGCAATTCTGTGACCTTGGACAATTCCATAACCATATAACCTGGACGATTCTGTGACCTTGGATAATTCTATAACCATATAACCTGTACGGTTCTGTGACCTTGGACAATTCCATAACCATATAACCTGGACCGTTCTGTGACCTTGGACAATTCTATAACCATATAACCTGGACGATTCTGTGACCTTGGATAATTATATAACCATATAACCTGGACGGTTCTGTGACCTTGGACAATTCAATAACCATATAACCTGGACGATTCTGTGACTTGGATAATTCTATAACCATATAACCTGGACGGTTCTGTGACCTTGGACAATTCTATAACCATATAACCTGGATGATTCTGTGACTTGGATAATTCTATAACCATATAACCTGGACGATTCTGTGACCTTGGACAATTCTTCAATCATATAACCTGGACGGTTCTGTTGTTCTTTGACCTTGGACATTTCGATAACCACATGAAATGTGATGATGCTGTGGTTATTTGATAATTTTGTAGTTATTTGACCTTGGTCAATTCTGTGACCTTATGACCCTTAATTCTGTGACCTTAGATGCTTCTGTGATCTCATACCCTGCCCATTTCCTAAAGTTGAATACCTCGGCTTTACTTTTATGTGATCTGATATCCAGGACCAGGTATTAGTAGTGTTCTATTTAAGTTGACTGTCCATGTACTTTTTATCATGAGGTTCCAGATATTCAGGAACATTCTAAATGCGTATACATACAACATATATGTAAAGAACACCATAAATCTCTTGTTTTGTTCAATATTTGTTTATTAGCTTCCCTCTGGATCTACTGGAGGGTACTATAGACACTTTCCATCGTCAGTCAGTCTGCAATTGCCTCACTTTGCTCAGGTGATATCTTATATAATCTGTCAATTACAGATGATCAATAATGTACTTCTTTGTATGCATTTGGCAGAGTGTCATGAATTGTAATTGGGTTTCATGCTCCACTTCAAACAGAGTTATGAGCCATTGTTCAGTGTGCATCAACATCAATTTATTTGGGGCATATCTGTAATACTCTGTCACCCACAATTGTCAAATTTTGTATGCGAGTATCTCTGGAGACGGAAGAGTGTCATGTATTGTAACTGGGTCTCATGCCCCACTTTAAGCAAAGTTATGGGCCTTTGCTCAGCGTACACAACTTTGTATGGGGCATATCTCAAAACCAGTAGGGGTAGTACAGATTGTTTACTGTATCTTGCCTTGTTCTCTATAAACAGGTTTCTGTCAAACAGATCAAGTTTCAATCATGTAAATCAAGATCTCAAGGTTAGCACCATGTCAACCACAGGTACTAGCCTCGTTTGTCAATACACCTATAATATCATCTTATAGGTGTATTGACAGACGAGGCTGGTACCTGTGTGTCAACTGTAACGGTTGTCATGATGTTTGTCTGGGAACAGTGTTATAACCGGCTGAAAGGGGTGACTTGCTTTGTTAACACCAGGCACTAAAATAACCTAGGATTGACAGGTGTGATACAGATGTAAAATAATAAATAAGAAAAGTTTGGTTTTCATATACATTTATTACATATATTTCAAGAATAACAGTTTTTGTTTTATCCTGAAACAGTACTTTCTCAGGCTTTAGTCACTGTGTGAATTTTGTTTTACCTGGTATTAGTTTCTGTGCATTATTTCAATATTGTTCAGCACCTTTGGCCATCAGCAGTAAAACAAATCTGCAGTATTGTAATCTATATTGTTGCTGTTCTTAAATAGTTCACTAGACACAAATTTTGTGTAAACAAATCCTGCACCTCGTGCCAAGCTTCTGTCTGCACCTGATTTACATTTTCCAATTCCTTCACCAATGTGGGTTCCGCAGCAATCAGACTGCCATGGACCTGGAACAGACATGGAATAATCTAATATTCATTTACTCTGTTTTGACTTGAGGATCCCTGTCCCACAGCAGGCAAAATGCTTGAAAATTCCACTGTAGACTTTTTTGTATAAAGAGTAGCCTCCCCTTAATTTTGTATTTGTTGTAACTGTAGAACAATCTGGTCAGAGTACTTCATTTGACCGGTTAGCTCAGCTGGAAAGGGTGAAATTATACCAAATTGAGGTTCAGAGTTTGAATCCTGGTCTACCCTTGCTGATTTTTCACACTCAAAACGATTCTGTAAGTTTCACAAGATCTAGTTTTCTTTTCAGACATGATTCATAGAAAATTCTGTCATACTGGGAAATATTTCCCAATGAGTAAATTTCCAGCACTGGTATGTGGATCCTCAAGTTAAATGTTCATGTAGTAAGCTACAAGCCTTCCTTATTCATCCTTAAAGTTGTTTGGTGATTAAAAAATAAACTACACGGTTACATGTAAGCTTGGCATTAAAGAATAAACTACACGGTTACATGTAAGCTTGGCATTAAAGAATTAACAACACGGTTACATGTAAGCTTGGCATTAAAGAATAAACAACACGGTTACATGTAAGCTTGGCATTAAAGAATAAACTACACGACAAAGTCAACTAACAAAAACTTTTTTTTAAAACTTTCAGTAACGATGCAACAGTATAAACATTAAGCAACAATGTAATGCAATTCTGTAACAAATAGGAAGCTATATTTAACCTTTTCAAATTCTCAAACATTTAGATTGTATGATTTCCTAAGCCAAATTCAATGGGTTAATTAATTAAGATATTACAATTACCTGGATAAACAATCCCAGGTAAGCATTGGCCAGCTCAAAGTCCCTCCTTGTGGTGAGGACATAGCCAATAAAGCTAAGAAAACAGGACACTAGCTCCAGAGATCCCCCTCCATCAGGTTCCAGGGACCGAATCTCAATATCAATAGCGGATGGACCAAGCTTTTTCATCATCTGAAGGGTCTGATCAACTGTAAGATAAACACATTGTTAATCTTTAATCAGCTGTGAAAAATATGTCACAACAGCTAAGTTCAACCTTGGCCGTGTTTAGTTCTCCTTTGTTCACCGAACAAAAGATGAATCTTAAATGAGAGACAAAGTTCAGATGGAGATTTGTTGTTTGTATGTAACTTAATTGTTTTTTTCGTTCTATTACTATACTTTACTATTTTTTTTGGCTACAGTTTTTGTCCATTAGTCACACCCAATCATGGCAGATTCCAAATAAATTATTTCCTCTTCTTATTACTACTCAGGAAACCCCTGGATACGGCTTTGTTTGAACATCTCTTTGGGGGTTATGAATTATCATACATGTAATGAATCTAGCTGGATCTGGTAAAACTTATCACTGGAAACTGTCATAGCTAGTGAGATCACATGCAGATCTGTAATTTTTCATAAAAATAAACATCTTACTTAAATTATATGATCATTCATTCTAAAATGTTATGTGACTGCAAAATTTCAGCAGCAAGAAAACTACCCAAGTCATGGAATTGTTTATTTAATTTTTAACAACTAATTATATTTAATTAACTATATAAATACTGCTACTTACAACTACCCTCCTCAGCATCTTGTGTTAACACTTTGCCAAGCCCTGAAAGAGGCTGCAGATTTCCTTTGATGATCTTGGAGGAACTCTGAAACACAATACCATTCCTTTAGTACAATAATTGATATACATAATTATATACATGTATAATGTAAATTTTGTATCTGTCAATTTACATCAACCACTTACATTGGTAATTATTTTTTTCTTCCAGCACGAATTGCTTTTAATTTTAATTTAGGAAAATTATTAATACATAATTAAGCATGAAAACATTATACTTAAAAGAGACCTTTAAAAAAATATTTGCATGCTTTAAAGCGCTAATGAGGGCATTTCTAGATGTAGAGGTTCTCAAGCAGAGAGGCACTTATATTTGATCATAAAATTGTGGTTGGTGGGTGTCACAATAATGTGCCTCTTCATTCACAAACACTTATTTTTGAAAAAGTTTAAAGACAATGATCATCAGTGCTGATGATCATTGTAATAGTCACATTAATATTCAAATCTTATCAGAATCACTAATTAGGAACCAATGGTTAGTGTGGTTCCGATTAATCAATTTAATCGATGATCAGTCATTTTACGTCCGACTATGATTAATTGATCATGATTTTCTATGATCGATCATGGTTTTACTACAGCATGAAAACCATCAACACTATTACAAATTATTGAGATCAGACGTTGAAGAGAATACACCACATTTTACCCATATTGGTGACTGCTTCTCTCTTCATTTTCATATTCATTTTATGATCGACCATTAATCAATCATCGATCATTTGGGAAAAAGTGAAGATTGATTGGAGATTTTGAAGTGATTCCCAACAATATTATTGGTCTATGTATACTTGCTACATATTGTATAATGTATCTAAATACAGCAACACAAAGTAAGAACAGTCTGTTTTAGATACCATACATGACCGATAATCTTGAATATAAAATTCAAGCTTCTGTTAGGTCACCTTTAACTCATTCACCCCTAAAATTTCATAATGAACTATTTCAACCTTTGAATTGAAGGAGTTCAAATGTATCTTCGGGGGTGGATGAGTTAATACCGGGTAGTTACCTTATCTTCCTCGGCCTCTTGTTCAGCGAACTTGAACTCCAATCCAGCAACAGTGGGTAAGAAGAATGGTGCTGCCTTGGGGGCCTTAGGAGGCTCCTTGGGTTTGTTCCTTCTCTGCAGGTCAAACACAAACCATTCATTAAAACAGACACAGTCAATGGAGATATTTTTGATAAAACATAAAATAAGAGGTGAATACGATTCTGTATTACACATATGGCAATTAAAAATTAATACAAGAATAATGTACTGCCCTTGTTACTGAAAATTCTATTAGAGCTCATTAGTTGTTGTCCACTCAGATCTTCAGGTTTTCAAATCAAAACAATCCCTTTGGTTTGTTTTAGCACCATGGAACGTGATGTCATCATTCCATGCTCAATGTTGTTAGACAGTCATAGTTGTCAAGTTTAAATTGTCAAGAAGCAAATTAATCCATGACAATGATGAGTGTTGTACAGCACTAGTGTGTTTTTAAATACAAATTTTTGGTATATAATTGGAGTTTATATCTGACATTGCAGTAAACGCTTCTTTATTGCAGAAACATAACCTTCACCGGAGTGATATGCACAATCATGGCTGTTTTCATCTGTACTTAACGTTTGCTTGCTACGGTGGCCAACATATTGCTTACAGATATATATAGGAGTGAAATTTGTCTAAACATGGGGCCGCTCCCTTAAAGACAGCAGTACATGTTATGATTACATAGTATCAGTTTACTCATAACACAGGGATACAAATCAAACATGGTTCATTAAACACAGGTAACACTATTAAAATATTCTTCATTCCAGACTTTCGAACATTATATCTGACAGTTCGTGTTTAAGAAATAAAATGGGTTCCCATATACAAATCATAAGTATTTGCATTTACTAAAAAAATGTCTGAAGTATCAGAATTTCAGCAAAAGTTGTTACAGCAAAAAGTGTTCTAGCTGCCTTACCCTGATTGTGTCAAGATTTAGAAGATTCTGCCATCGAGAGTTTGGTAGCAGAGATAAGGTCACTAGTTCATCAGATATCTGTTGTGGGGATTTAAAGTCTGTCAGATCCTCTTCTGTGGGGTCCTCCTCATCCTCATCCACTCCTAATAGATATAAGACACAGATATTAAAGATATAAAATCACTGTCATATCCACCTCCTCCTTATACACTCGTAGTGGATATAAAACACAATTGATAATGATATAAAGTCAATTTCATCTGAACAATTATATCACTTAAGGTTCAATTATTGAATGTGATACTTATATATCTATCTTACTTTCATAACTAGAACTGTACAGTTGTGGTAACAAATTTGTTTAATAGTCTTATAATATTCTAAGAATTAGATACTCATTTTGGGGTAATATTTAATAGTAGAATCATCAGAAATAATACAACACCACCAATAACAAACATACTAACACAGAGATGATTTTAACTCCTCTATCTGTTATTAAATCAATTATGGTATGAGTAAATGTAGTTATAGAAAACATTTAGTAAAAAGGCAACCTTACTCCAATCAACCCTGCCCAATTTATTTATAAATCTCAAATGCAAGCCTGCTTGCATGAGGGACCACCTCTATTAAGAGACCACTTGTGTTCCGAGACCACATTTGAAAATCTCTATTGCAGTTATTTTCTAGTTAACTGAACCTGTATTAAGAGACCACTATATATTGGCTTCCCAATGTTAACAGTGGTTTCTGAATACAGGCTCGACTGTATCTTCCTAAGGAAGTCTTACCTGAAGGTTTTTGTTTACTGGTGGCGGGCATAGACAAAGTGTGTGGCTCAAAGTCTGCAGGGAGGGGCCTGAGAGGCACATGTGAGAAGAGAGTAAGGTTGGACCAGAGGTACACGCCAATGTCATCAACATGGGCTGTCACCAGGAAATCCCCCGTAGGTGACATTGACAAGGTCGTTACTGCTGAGTCTACTGCAAAGCAGTCTACAAGTCTGAAACAGCACAACAACATAAAATACAGAACAGAACTAAATGATGTACCTCAACTGTTGTACAAACCTATAAATACAGGAGACTATTGATCATGATTGCTACAAAATTAAAGCAAACAGAGGTTATAAAAAAAAGAAATTATTTAATTTAAGTTCAATTTTAAATTAGCAAATTGTTTTTCATGTCTTCAATTGCCTGATGAAAATAGTTGAGTAAGTTTATGACCGAGCTTATGGAATATCAAGTTTTCAGATTTAAGAAACCATTTATGGGTATGAACCATTAAATAAATATATTTTCATGTCTTACAAATAGCTATTTCACTATGCTAAGATTTCAGGATATATGTGGAACCATGTAAAATAACACTGCAAAATCAGTGATTCCTTTACATACCTGCCTGTCGGCATGTCCCACGTACGCACACTGCAGTCCATGGCTGCTGTGATCAGCCATCGGGAGTCAGTACTAAAGGTCTACAAACAGTTAAATTAAAAAACTCCAATGAGTAGAGGATGTGGTGGACTGTGTGCTCTGTGATATATGAGATGTACTAGTACTGAGTGTGTCTATGGGGGTGGACTGTGTTCTTCGGGATGGTGTCAGACTGTGTGTTTCAGTGAAATGAAAAGGTTAAATGTCTACAGTGATAGAACGAAGTGCTGCCGGATCTGAGTAGCGACTTACCATGTCTGTGATGCTGTTGGAGTGACCAAGGAAGGTTCTGACCACCCTCTTCGTGTCAATGTCCACTATCATTATACTGAAGTTATCGTGTGATACGGCCATCATTGAACTGGAACCAAAATCAAAGTTAATTCCTGTATCTCAAATATATCCTCTATTAATCTCAGAAATAGAAGAAAACAGTGTAAACATGTTTCATCTTCAATAATACTGCATATAGACACACAAACATCAGGTGATGAGATCAGCTGTAGTAATGACATCAATGATTGGATATAAACCAGTGATATACATAATTCAATCTAGATCCTTAATTCTTAGGATGTCAAAGAAAATCTCTGCTGGTAGCCATTCTAATCTCAATACAATTTAAGTTACTGTATTTTCAAAAAAAAGGTCAATAAAAGTTGTCTAAGAAAGATGTTCGGGAGTCAAAAAGATACTGTCAAGGGTCTACTGAAAGAATTTATCTATAGTGTGTACCTGTTTTCTTTCTTTTAAGAATGTTTCACACTGATCCAATTTTGCATATATATATGTAGTATCTTTTTCTTCAAACCCCAACAACTCAGTTAAGTTCTATCATTTCCTTTTGTGGAAATAGGCAAAAAAACATCTAATTGTTGAAGGGATACCAACGTTCTCAAACGTAATATAACATTATTTTTTTTTAGATTGATCTCTCAAAGGTAATCACAAGTATTATAACCTTTTTTTTAAACTGATATTAACAATGAACAATTCATTCAGTAGCAGGCTGTTACCATTAACCTGACACCTGAGTATTATTGAAGTTGTTATATCTGTGTTTTGTTAGTTAAGTTTAAAGCCAAAACTTAGCTCCACCCATTCCATAATTATTTGACACCTGTGTGCACTTCTTTGATCTACACAATAACTTTTGGTTTTCTATAATCAAATTTCAAATTGATTTACAACTGACAACACATATGATCCTGGTACCAAACTCATACAACAAATGAAATGAAATAGATTCCACAGTAATTGATAGACATAACACTAATGTACTAGGGCTGTCACATCAGATAACCGGTACATCGCAATATACACATGATACGTCGCTGTATTACAATATTTTTGAAAAGCTTATTCTGAAGTGTCTGCAAAGTATTTTTGATAACTTTATCAATTGCTATACTTTCTAACAGATGTGCCAATAACCATGCACAAGCTTCTACTAGTGGTGGGAATCAGTTAAAATCCATATACCTGGTAATATATACTTCAGTTGAATATATTTCTGACAACAATTTTTTTGAAACTGAGATCTTTTTCCCATGGCAATATACTGGGATACGTATCCCAATACATTCCTCCTGTATTGCAATATATTGTGATACACTCCAGGTGTGTTTGTGACACCCCTATAATATACTAATAACAAACACACTGACAAATTAATAAACTTATCTTTCTTTGTGTAAACATATTTGAGATATACTAATAACAAACACACTGACAAGTTAATAAACTTACCTTTCTTTGTGTAAACATATTTGAGATATTTGATTTTTCAGCTGGAGACATTTTAGGAGTTTCCTGTCTTTAAACTTCCAGAATTTGATATCACCCGTACCCCCAGCTGTTATCAGCATCTGATTAAGGCCATCAATGGCCACCCCTCGTACGGAACAGTCATGTGCTGAAACAAAAGTACAAATATTGATATACCTCACTATCATCAGCTAAACACAGATATGTCTCATCATTATCGAAAGTCAAACACTAACTAGAACTGTCGCCTATGGGCTAACTAATACCCCTCGCATTCCGGCTGCATGTTGCCCCTGTAGGGCCTCTGACAATGAAACAAGGGAAAAAATATATAGAAAGATCAAGAGTTTTGAAAGTCTAACCTCAGATGTCATACTGACAGACCAAAGGGAAAGACAAACACCACCACTGTGACTTTTGACTCAATGACCTCAGAATTATGTCACAATGTAGCTTGCATCATTGCTACATTTACTACAAGGTATTTGTAAACAAAATACAATTTTCTGCAATAGTTAGCCATTTCATTAACATAATGCACCTGTGACCTTGAAAGTTTGTTACAAAATAGCCTGAATAATTGGCTACGATACTCTAATGTTTATGAGTATAATCAATACCTACAGTTTCCGAAATATTTAGCCATTTCAGTAACGTAACTCTTTCATGACCTTTGATCTCAGAAATTGGTCATAAGAGTAGCTTTCATTAATGCTTACAATATTACAATGTATATGTGAATACAAATTACCTACCGTTTCTGAGATAATTAGCCATTTGAGTAACGTAATGTACTGTCTACAGAAGTCAAGGGCCATAACTCTGGTAAATATTGAAGGAACATAATGGCGTTCTGGGAGACACAAGTTGATCATTGGAGGTGTAACATGTGTGTAAAGTTTCATCAAAATCCATGCATAAACCTAGGAGGAGTTGGAGGTACAAATTTTTGACAGACACAGAGATTCCAGTATAACCCCCCACCCCCTAACTTCGTTGCGGGGTTTATAATAAATATTAAAAGGATTAAAGACAAACACGAGTCCATTTCATCGGAACTAAATTAAACCACAGTAAGCGTATTTTGCATCATAATTACAGTGAAATACATGCATGTAAATTAAACTTGTGTTAATAAATTTGATTTGGAAATTACTAAAATAAGTATGATTGATAGCAAATGAAATACCAGTTTTTAAACAGTTCTTACAAAAGTGGAAGTCATCAGAATACAAATGCTCTATTAACACACACTGTAAAGCAGATTTTGTTTTTGTCATTTTGTGAGATAAAAAAATCAACAAGGACACAAAATATCTACAAAGAAATATATGTTTACAGTATCAGTTTTCAACACTGCTTTGAAATTTTGGTTGGTAATTTGGTCGAAAAATCCAAAATGAAATCCTTCCTTTAAGTATTTGCTTTTGGAGAATGTCTCACCTGTTGGATCACCATAGCTGCCTCTGTGTATGCCGGACTGGAGATTGTATTTGTCAACATGCCCAGAGCTATACCCAATCACCGTAAAGTTTCCACATGGACTGATATCAACAGCCTGCAAAACGTAGTTCATAATGTCATAAACCGATACCATTAATATAATCGTGTGCTCTACCTAATATAAACAATTCCAGGCTCATCGGTATATCAGACATGCTACATTGTATATATTATTCAACAGTATTTCATTACTGCTCACACTATACTAATTACATGGCAATATTTAAGTAGTAAATTTTCAAGCATCTGTCTGAAGATTGCTTAAAGATAGTAGTATCCCTGTTGACATGTTACTTATCCAAAACGACAGCAGTATACCATGTACAGTAACACCTTGTTATACTGCCACTACTTGTCCTGAGAAATTTTTGCGATATAAAGGGGTTTGGCAGTAAAATGAAGGAAATGTATAGAAGAATTCTCAAGTAAACGAGTCTACTGGTATGCTTCATGCATTAGAATGTAAAAGTTGGCATATACAGTTGTACATTCATATTGAAAATTATTCTGACATAACATATCCTTCACCATAACATATCCTTTACATACAATGTTGGCCACACAATGATTATGTCATTCTTTACAATAGCCAAAATCATTATAATGCTGGCTATAACTCACTGTTGTGAGTCATATGTTACAAGCTTTTTCTGCAGGCAGATTGATTTTTCTTGCATACTAGACCGAGATATCTGCATTTCCGGCGGTGCTGGAAAATTCTATTTAACCCATGGGTCTGGATAGCTTACATGTGCAGACTGGCGGGTGAATTATAGTGACCTTTCGGGGTCACACTGTCGTTTGTGACGTCATTTTATGACATTTTGGGGTCAGTCAGAGTCATTGACGTCATTAACAATTGCCATCTGGGCTTCATATGCAAATGAGAAATGTGCAGACTAGAAAAGCAGCTGTATATACAGGTTTTAGGTAATAAGAAAGAAATAGAATCCATCCCTGATGTGATGTAAGGATAAGGTATTTCAAACCCTTGGGATAAAATATTGAGCAGAAGAGCCTCGGCAAAACCTTGATTCTCATGCTCAATATTTTATCCCTTGGGATTGAATTACCTGATCCATACCTCTCATCAGGGATGGATTCTATTAATCCAAAGGAGTCAAGAGTTGAACTCAAACTTAACTATAAAAACCCCACAAGAACACTGCGTCCCTATATCACACACCCTATCCGACACCCACACTGTAATACTTATACATTTATCTGGAACACAAGAACACTGCCTCCCTATATCACACCCCCTATCTGACACCCACACTGTAATACATTTATCTGGAATATGTCTTAGGGAAAAGTACCTGAGCTACAACATCATGCATTGTCTTGCCGTTGAACCTGTCATGCTTGAACCTGTGTTGACCCATGGTTGACCTCTGGTAGCTCCAAGTCGTTGCTGTACACAGACCACGGTGGCATGCCACAATGTTATCCCAGTCACTCTGTCGACTTGATTCTGTATAAAACAAATATCAAACTCTTGACATGATGCTCAACCACTAACGATCCTTGGTCTGTTTTATTAGTACTTGACTCTGTATCTTTAAGTACATGTTTGAAACTTACAACATCTCCAACAGCCAGTGACCCTTAGCATCGTTTTCACTCAATTATTTTATCAAACAGTATTCAACAACTAATAATCATTGGCGTCCATTTACTTGCCTATCTATTACAAAGTATGAAACTCATAATCCCCATCAATAGCCAAACTTCACCAAGCATAAATACTTCCTCACTTCTATTCTATCACTATCTTGCACTGTATCAGCCAAATGTTATTAAACAAATCTGTTTGGATGTGATAATATCGATATCGTTACACATAGTCCTGTGTTTACTGAAGTCTAACATTGGTGATAATCACAATGCCTACATATTTAAAAACATATTCTAACCATCTGACTTTGAAAGTGGATCAGTCCTACTCTTCATCAAGCTACAGGTAAAATATTATGACTCTTCGCATCACGATTACACGGATGTCATTTTTTCAAAAGAAGAATTTGAAATTGATGATATACCATTGCATGAATAAGTATAAAGGCATAAGGTATAAGGTATAAAGAGCCTAGATGAACTAATGTCGAAAGTGAAGATACCTGAAACAAAGTGTGTAACAGAAGGCATCATGTGTTTGTCCTTCTTCAGGCCGGACTTCCTCGTCTCAGTCTTGTTATAGGAGGCTCGCCCAAGGCTTTTGTAATGTTTGTCATGAATGGTGGAAAATGAACGCATAGTGCTGTCTTGCCCTGTTAACAAGTATCAAAACCAAATGTGAGTTCAATATAAAGTCTGCAGCAGGAAATGTTACGACAGTACAAACAAGAAATATGAATTTTACAAAAAAGTATGTACTTTATTATTTCTTTTAACAATTAGATACAAAAATGAACCGTAAATTAATTTTCGAAAACAATTCTTAAATAATGATATTTTATATACAAATGAATTAAAAAAAAAATAAAGACTTCAATATTTGCATTAATATTTTTCTAGATCAATGTACCTGTACTGAGGATATTTTTGCCATCATTTCCATAATGCCGAAGTCTGGTGGGTGGAGCAGAATGTCCTGACCTCTGATTGAGCAGACGACCTCCGCCATCTGGTAAATCCATAATCCACACCTAATGAAACAGGTACAGGAATATCACATATACATTTGTATCAATCAACAAATTGATGAAATAATTTAAACTTTATTCTGCCTGGCATCATAGTCTGTACTTAATCCTTCCCATATAATATTTAGCAACATGAAAAGTGGTGAGTGATTTGGATAACTGAAACATCTTAAACTGACAAGTTCTAAATAAAGCAGGATTTACTGTACAGAAGTGTAGTTTGCAAAAAAGGGTTCTTCGAACTGTCAAGAATCTAGTATAATCAGAATTACATTTGTTTCTTTCATAACATCAAATGTCAAGCTATTTGCATTTTCATCTCTTCAGTCTTGGGGATTTTGCTTAATTTCCATATATGTCCCTGCTTTTCTATAAAAGCTTCATATTAATATTCATCATGTCAGCATTCATTCTGATAATGTGCCTACCTTTAGTGAGTTATCAGATGCTGAAGTAATTATCAACGGTTCGGAGGCCACACAGACCAGTCCCGTCACAGAGGTTGAGTGAGCTTCCCTTATTTGGCTACTCAGTTTCCTTTCCTCCAAATCCCACAATGCCATGTGACCAACAGCACTTCCTGTAACCATCACTGGGTGACCATCTGGCAACAAAAGACCAAAATTCAAAATATAGAAAAGTAACGAAAAAAGAGAAAGAAAGACTTTATGAGAACCAAAAGAAAAAGGGAACAAGAGTACCGCGGGGCAGAACAATATACGCCCGTCGAATGCCATATAGTGTTATATACTTTCTTACATTGAAATAAGACCTGCATCATTCAAAGAATGGTTAGCTTACATGCTATAAAAATGTAGGAGAAAATCTCCGAACAAAAAATCAAATACTGAAATGAACAAAGGGCAATAACTTTTGGAAAAAATTGTCGAATCAAAATTCTTTTAAGGGAGACACAACTTCATATCATGATTATAATGTATACCAAGTTTCAAAGAGATCGGTCGAAAAATGTAGGAGGAGATTGCCGGACAAACAAAAGTTTACGCCGGACGGACGGTCGGAAGGACAACGCCATACCATAATACTGGCTGGCGTATAAAAAGACTAAATATAATTGTATTGTAGTCTCATTGACTCTTTCTTTAGCTCTAGCCGTTGTTTACTATATGGTACAACATACATCTTCATTACTTTTTTAGAACATACATTTGCATTAATTATTTTCGTATGTATTTTTCGATCTATGTATTAAGTTATTAGTGATCTTATGACTGTTAGATATGTCTATCTTTCAAATCCGTAACAAATGTAATCGTTGAAAGTGAAATACTCAACACACACTCAAATAGTCATCAATATTTTTTTCTGTGATGTCTACATATTCCCCACCTGATATACACAACTTTCTCTCCTTCCTTTTGCAGGTTTTGCTATTTCCAACCTACTCTTCATATTTTGGGTGATTCTACAGTGTGTTATAGAATTATAAGTATAAACTTTTAATTTATATCTTAACTAAAGAACCCTTGGATGTCCGATATATAATCCGAGGTTTTCAACTTGAACTTAAATAATCCTATTTATATGTACCTACAGTGACCAGACTTACCTGTTCTGAAACCTATGCTGGTAACTGGGCCCCAATCCTGACGAAACTTTATTACGGTTTCGTCAAATTTTAAATTATGCAAAATGATTTGCCCATCATCTAATCCAATGGCAACTACATCAATGGCTGGAGACTAAAATGGAAATTACATTTTCTTTAAAACATGATACTTTGACTTGCTTTGATTCATCCTAGAGAAGTCCTTATGTAAAAGTCTGTCCTTTTAAAAGCAGGAGAAAATAATCTCATTAAAACAAAAACTATAAAACTGATGTGATATTTAATTAACCTGTACATTGTGCCTATACTACAAGCTGCTATATTGTGCAACGGACAAAGGATTGCAACTATTTCCAATAACATCTAAGGCATAAACAAAACTTGATCAAGACTGTATCATATTATTGTTACTTGTTCAGTAGCTGTGATTCCTGCGTTCCATCCGTCAAACATGTAAAGCATCTTGTCAGTGCGGATGTTCCACAGCTGAAGCTTGCCCTGTTTACTCCCCAGCAGAATCTTGTTCAGATAGGTGCTTGGATGCATTAAAGTTGTTACACAAAACGTGCTGTTGTTGAACTTCATCTCCATGTAAACAACTGTGAAAAATAATGAGCTTATTAGTATATCAACTTCAGTAAAACACATTTTACAATGATGGGATTCATAATAAATTACATTCCTACAGGTAAGATTTGGTTAGAGTTCATGGTGTTCATAAGACAATGAATGCCAGGAGAAGAATTGATGACTGATTATTATAATTAAGGATTCACTATAGTATTGGCAGTTAACACATGTCTCAATATTATATTAATGGTAGCACAATGCTATATATAAAACACCATGAATATGAAAATTTGATATTAACATCCAGAATATATACCTGTATGATATATATTTCCTACATTTTTTCCATAGTTATGTTCAACAGAGACCGACCAACATCAGTGAAAGTACCTTGAAACAATATTGTAATTACTAAACATAGGTAGTGTTAAGCTGTACTGACCTTCAGCATCCACATCCCAGACTTTGACCGTGCTTTCTTCATCCACAGACACAAGGTGTTCTCCAAACGGTAGCAACATGTGGATGTCCTTCTCGTGCCCTTCATAGGTAAATGACAGCTAAAATCAACAAAAGCATATAAATTAAACATTCTCTTAAATAATGCTAAACGTAGCTGTCAATTTCAATGGTAATTGTATTTTGTCAGTGAATGTGATGTACGGAATTGAAAATGAGAACACTGCTTTTATGTGTACTATACATACACCAACAAAACACAAAATCTGCACTGATTATAGTATACACCATTATTATAAGTATTATAAGTATATATACTAATCAAGAATAGTTCAAAGCTTATGTACTTCTGGTCAAAAGAAATAAACTTATTTACTAGGACACAACTCATTCCTGAATATTATTCACTTAGTGTATGTCAAAATTGATGTTTACCTCGGTAAGTTAATTTCAGCACAGTGTACACAAATTATCAGAGCCAAGGGTCCTTAGATTCACTTTTTAGTCCCCCATTCTCACCCGCCAAATAAGTAGTTCGATTTGCATCTGACCAACAGTTTATTTATTTCAAAAATAAATCTGTAATTTTATTTTAAAACATAAAAATAAAAGGAGGAAAAAAAGATAATACATTGTGTATATACAAACCTGCTTCCATCTAGTATAGGCTCGTATCACATTCTTGCAGCCGGTAAATACAAATTTGGAATCTACAGCAAGGCAGTTTATGTCATCAGGATGAATGTCACCTAAAAATGAAATTTGAAGCTGGCTTTAGAGAAATCTGCAATATTTCAATGACAATTTTGTTCAGTTCACACACTACATACAAGTCAAAAAAATGCCTCAAATGATTAGTCGTCATCTCATGTTGCAAATTCAAATTTATTTGGGTTAAACACTTATCAGAGTTAATAATTCCCTGCATAAAAGATGAATTATACTTACTAACACAGACTATCCCGAGTTTTGAAACCTGAAAATAAAGTTTAAATACACATTACTACATATATATGGCAGTGATGTTCTCTCGAGGATTCTTCAATTCAGAACAGACTGATGTTGCTAAGACAATATAATTGACAGAATTTTAAGCACACAACATTTGGATTGGCTGTTGAATAACGATTGGATGTGGTTTACAAATTGGTTAATATCTAATTTATTTTACAAAGGTTGATTATATAGCCAGTGTTAGGAATTAATTCTAGCCTGAAATTCTCCGACTAAAAAATGTATTATCAGTCATCAGCTGTGGACAGTAATTTTGATCACAATTAAAATGCTTGTGTTTTATGTGGTAAACATTTAATTTGTTTGGGTTAATTTCTTATTGCAAATACTGATGTGTAAACTTACTTTCCAACAAGTAACCTCAAGCCTTCATTTTTTCACTTTTTTAAATACATGACATATCTTAGTGTCAACAGTTGTGCTTCATTTAGAAATCTTTTTTTTTATCAGTAATTTCTTATCTAACATACCTAATTTAATGTGTTTTATATAAAGTTGTATAACGCTCTACATATTAGCCACCTAAATGAACAGATACATGTAGGCCAAATCACACTGCCAAGTTGGATGATAAACAGCATGTGCACTAGCTATAGCCTCGTCTGCACGTACACCTATACATCATGATCACTAATTAGCTATAATATATATTCATATGATATAATATACATGTGTACTGACTAGTCTGAATTAACTGACTCCCCATCAAATAATATACCTATAAAAGGAGACAGTCAGTTATTTCAGACTAGTGTATTGACCAATTAAGCTAGTGCCAGCTGTAACAGTATATGTATGCTTTACAGGTATTTTGTCTGATGAAATCACTGAGAATTTGAATGTATCATCATATTTATCTTAAGTCATCGAAACCATCATCATACCCATAAACATTTCTTCTACTTCTACAGCTCAGGATAACGACTATCTTCATCAATTTGAAGATTAATGTCAGAGCAGGTTTAAGAAGGAAAGATGAAAGTTTTTTGACAGGTATAGCTCAAGGGAAGAAAGTTACTTTTCTAGTATGAGTTTTGGAAAAAGGAATTTGGAAGGAGAGCTCATTTCTATGCCTCCGATTCGGGGGATATGTCTGTCAGATTTGATGACAAAAACTTTATAATTGACGATATTGTAGAATGCAGTTTATAAGATGAGCAGTTTTAAGTCTATCTGCTAACTAAAGGGCGCAATTCTAATAGGGCTGTAACGATACACATTCGGTGTACGATATGTTTTTTCCGTGTTTCGTTTTTTTGTATTACCCAACTTCAGGAATTTAACCATACATGTGTAACGTAAAATTTGATTGGCTCGTATGATAAAAGCTGTACAATAGTTGTTGCTGTTACAAAACTTAGCATAAACAAGCATGCAACATGGCAGAGCTTCAATTAAAAAAACTCCCGCTTCCTTTCGCTCGCCTGTTAGGCAGCATTTATGTCTGTTTAGGGTTCCTGACCGACCCTAGCTTTTTACCCCCGACCCAAAATTTTGGATGGAAAAAAAACGCAATCAATTTTCGTATTTTAGAAGGTTCCTTGCCTTTCAAAATTGCTTCCAGCTCCGTGTTGCGCTAAATGTCAGCATATGGAGCACAATTTGCCTCCAAATGAACCTTGTTTATGTAATTCTTTGTTTTACATACAATAGTATGGTCATAATAACATGACCACACGGTACACAAAAATATACACAAAAAAATTCGACCTACCTATCCTTGATTTTTTGCCCATGCAACCCTAAACAGACTATTTTTGTTTTTGGCCTAACTATAAGTAAGCTATTTGTTTAATTGATCAATACCCAATTTAATAATTGATGAAGACAAAACAGTACTCTCAATTATCTTAAGCCCTCTCAGCTATAAGAGATTGACGAAAATATACGTACGTTATATACATGGTATGATTTCCCAACACATGTAACAACATAATTATCTTTGTGCTTCTGGTGATACCGGACTGCCAGGGGAACGTGATTGCTGACAAATCCAAGCGCTCTATATCCCTCAAAGATTTTACTGGCGACTGGCATGTTGTATATATTAAAGAATACTATCAGCAACCATTTTTGAATGTGTTTTTCATCAAATGTTTGCAATAATCGCTTGGAACCTATAAAAACAGATATATCAACAAATCCACGTGCAGCAAACCTAATTGTCGTAAAGTAGTTCGTTTATTTTACGACATCCAAATAAAATGAACTGTGTGTATCAAGCATCGTAAATTGTTTTCAGTATAATTAATTAAATAACCATAATTAATTTGGCTACCAATTGTTAGTTCAAACATGAAATAGCATTGAACTAAAACAACTTTTTGGAAAGTCGTAAAACTAAAAGTCATGGTCAGATAAGAGTTTGTAGTCATCTAAAACGAAAGTGGAGTTGATAAGTAAGTTACTGACTGCGTCTATGAGTGAACTCTATTTAAAGACAATTTACTGCTTCCGTCTGCAAAAGCAGATCTATATGTGTTGGTTAGTATACGTCTCTGGCTAACGTCAAAGAAGGTTTGAAAATGAATTGTTCATTTAAGAATTGTAATATTGGTTCACTGGCTGAATCTGAGGGAAGAGTTGAGGTAAAAACTGTCCTACCAAAGAAGAGATCTGTTGAATCAAAACTTTGTATAAATTGGAGAAAGGATGGAGAGGCAAAATTTCATCAAGATTGTTGGAATGATGTTATGAAGATGTCACGTTCTCGAACAAAGAAAAAGGATACACCCAATATGTCACAGCAGGAAAAGGTTCTAGTGAAGGAGGCTGCAAAATCTTTCGAGCAATTCGATTCCTTTCAACATGTATGCCGTGAAGCGAAGAGAGTTGCTAAAATGATAACTTCAAGCAAACACTGCGTTGCTTTTACAGGTACAGTACAAATGATGCAACACTCTGATAACGTTGAAATACAATCCTGACAGTTTTTCGTCAAGGATATACATAAAGTGTGGCAGATTTTAATTGTATATTATTATATAGGATTACGGTCACCTTCTAGTTCTAAATTTGTACCTTCATGCTACTCACAACCGGACACAACTATAGAACAGAAAAGCTGGACCAGCTTACGTTGACATCGACACTACATGAAAACTAGATGAAAACTATAGCTTCGAGCTAGAAGTAATTTCCCTTTAGCTCAGTGGTAGAGCGTCTGACTAGGAACCTAGGGATCGTGGGTTCAACTTCTAGTGGAAGCACACTATTGAGTATTCTCTTTCCTGTTTTGTATAGAGGTAGTACCTAATGTACATGCATATGTACTCAAACAAAGTTGGAGGTGTCCTGTTATATTATAATTATAAGAGTAAGATAACACTCTGACATCTTTTGAACTTAGTAGTACATCCATGTTATATAGCTTACTTTTACATCCTGGACTGTACCGACATACATGTATCTTAATATGAGGTTGACTGTTGTTATATAGCGTACTTTTACGTCCTGGATTGTACCGACATATCTTAATATGAGGTTGACTGTTGTTATATAGCGTACTTCTACATCCTGGATTGTACAGTCATATCTTAATATGAGGTTGACTGTTGTTATATAGCGTACTTTTACGTCCTGGATTGTACCGACATATCTTAATATGAGGTTGACTGTTGTTATATAGCATACTTCTACGTCCTGGATTGTACAGTCATATCTTAATATGAGGTTGACTGTTGTTATATAGTGTACTTTTACGTCCTGGATTGTACCAACATATATGTACATTAATTAGATTTTTTTTTACTAATTTTGTGTGCTCACAATATATGATACACAGATCGGATACACATGCCATGCAGAAAGGAACTGGCTGGGAAATTAATTGGTTCTAATGATGAAGTTACCAAAACTGGTTGCAACCTGTACTCGAATGTCCTGTGTATACGTACGTGTTCCTATATGTATGCTGGCTAATATTCTTACAAGGAAATTGTTTTTTTTCCACATTCCAATAACTATAAGGTGAGGTGAAGCTTATACGACTAAATCAATGTTTAGGTGCTGGGATTTCTACATCAGCTGGTATTGGTGACTACAGAGGGAAAAGTGGAAAGTGGACAGAGATGGATCAAAATCTACTAGATGTTGATTCACTGTTTGACACAGACGAACCACTAACAAAGAAAAGGAAAACCAAAACCGAGGCTCCAATTAATCAAGAACCAGGTATGAAAATGATAGAGCAAAGCTGAGTGATGAAATGTGAAGATATGTTTTAGTACTCTTCAGTTATATTCCATTAGTTCGTTGATGGTGGTCACCTCTTCTTGCCCCCATAACTTGTACAAACATCATGTATCACACAAACTCTCATAGTCTGCGTCAAGCTAATCTGAAGCTTAATATGAGTCCAAATGTCATGCATGTATACCTGTAGCTGGACAGCAGTGTCATAGCCACTACCCCAGTAATTCAAACACTGATCATGAATATCTTATTATTTAAACACATATTTACAGTTAAATCACATATAAGTAAATATTGTTTTATACACATAAAAATCATTTGATTATTTTGCAACAACAGAGGCTGAAGAGGAGAGTGAGGAGGAGGATGGCGTTCCCTATGAGTCATTGAGACCAACCTATACACATGAAGCTCTGTATAAGCTCCTACAGGATGGACACCTGAAGTATATCATCAGCCAGAATGGGGATGGACTTCACGGTTTGTCAGGAGTGCCACAAGAGGCTATCTCGGAGCTTCATGGCAACGTCTTTATTGAAAAGTGTACATTATGTGGGAAAAGATATGAGAGGGATTTCTATGTGATGGATGACATTAGCAGTCAATACTTTGAGGAGCTAGAAGATTTTGGCAAAACTGACATACGCAAACCCAAGCATGCTGTGAAGTGTGAGAGGTGTGAGCTTTGTCATCGAACAGGCAGGAAATGTGAAAAGAAGGTAAGCAGACATGTTATACTGATCTTACAGGTTTAATATTTGCTGTCAAACATGGAGAACAAGTAAGTAAGGAGCCATGATCAATAATAATATTTTTTAGATGAAACATGGACAAATGAGAACTTAACAAGGGTTGCCAAAGGATAAACAATATTTACATGTATACAATTATTAAAGAGCAAGCTGTTTGTGGTGTAACATAAGTTGTTTCTATAATGCTACAAGTCAAACTTACATTGTATACCTATTATCAAACTAGTGTTTTAACATTTTCTAGTTATCTTGATCTATCTCACGGCAGTCTTTTTAGAGTTTATCTCAAGAACGGCTGCAGCAGTTGACTCTAAACTCTGTATACCTGAGGGTTCTGTGTGAGAGCCTGGTACATGTACAAATACATGGTACAAATGTTATATGAATTGCGTCTCTGGTCCTACCAAGTGTTCTTACTTTTTTGTGCCAATGAAATAATTCAAGATGGCCACCCTGGTCTCATTGGATGATACATTCAACTTCTTAAATGGCTGCAGTGATTGACTTCAAAATCTGTATACATGTTTCTATATGAGGTCCTGGCTAAGTGTTCTTAATTACTTTTCACATTGATGAAGAGTCTGATTAGTTGTCATATTTTCTAATCCACTTCATTATATATGCTTGGTAAAAGTGTACTCCTAAAGTATTAAGGCCAATGAAATTTTTGAGAGCATACAGTTCCATATGATTAAGGCCTTGTTATTTTTGTGAAAGCTGCATAGTCATGTATTACTGGGTAATGCTGTCTGGCTTATACAGGTAGAGTTGTGTATAGTATCAGTATATAACAAATCAAACTGTTACTGGAATAGCTGGTTTCTACATTACAGTTCCTATTTTATAATATGTATCTTGGAAAAGTCCTACTTAGCTTACCTGTACTGATCGAGAATACTGTGTAACTGTGTAGTAGATTAAGGCACCTGTTATTCAGTCCATTTGTCAACATTTTCTCATGCAGGGTTGTCGAGGACCCCTAGAAGACTCCATCATAAATTTCGGTGACTTACTAGAGGATGAGATAAATGACCGGGGAGGTGACCATGCCAGTCAGTGTGACCTCATGCTGTGTCTTGGTACTACACTCAGGGTCACTCCAGCCAGTGACCTTGTGGAGCTTGGAAAACATCCCCTCAAACTGGTCATCTGTAACAGGTACTTGTCTTAGCATTGTCCGAAATTATTATCTGCTTTAGTGAAAATATCTGGATTGGATGTTGTTTTGAAGATGACTACATAGTATGTCCTTACTGCTGGACATCAACTCCCAGACAACAGCATAATTTGACCAAATGTACTTTATTTTTTAATGGTGATCAATATACAAGACATATGATAATATAATTCAGTTAAGTGTGAAGTAATATACTTGTCTTCATGAATGTTTTGAGCATATTCTCAATACCAAAGTAGAATCATAAAATAATAAATCATATTTGCATACTCATTGTAGTATCTTTATCAGCAGTTTTATGTGGACTTATATTTTTCACAATTTTTTATCATGTGACATTAATTTGCTGTACTGTATTTCGCCTTTCATTTTGTAACAGACAGGAAACTTACATGGACAGTACTTGTACAAAGAAAGCCAAGGATGGTCAACAGCTAGGATCCAGGGTGTTCGGGGACTGTGATGTCTTTTTCCGTGAAATAATGAAACACATCCTGGATCCAGAGGAACTGAAGGAATGGGAAGATGGTAGAGCAAACCGAATGAAAAACTATGACAAACATCGCTCATAATCTAATACATGTATAAGTTGCTCATAAACTAATACATGTATAAGTTGTAACTGGAAAATTTCGATATTTCTTGTAGTACTTATTGTAATCTAAAAGTTTTACAAGTCTTGAATTGGATGTCTAATTTATCATGAATTTTAAGTCAGAAAGTTATGTTATATTTTTTATGTACCAGGACAATACAAGAAGCTGAAAATAACATCCTTGCCTTCAACTCCAGTGTTATTTCTTTCTTCATGTGATAGTTTATAACCATGTTGGATATGTATTAATAATTAGAGCCATGTTATTTGCTGGTCACAATCATATAAAAAAAAGTTTTGTGCTGAATATGAATCGATCGTGAGAAATTGTTGTAAAGCCTGCAATTATTAAAAAAAATATACTTGCTGCACTATTTATATTCTTTTTCAGTTAATGTAACGGTAACATGAAACATACAATTGTTTATGATGATATTGACTGAAATGTCATAGTAAAGAAAATTCTGTCGTTCTTAGGAAGGATGGAGCTAGTTTGTTCCTCAATTTTCACTCAAATTTCCATTATTTAATCATGTGATATTGTTGTTACACGTTTGCTTTCTATGTCATGATTTATATGTTTATCTGAATATATTAACACCTTTCTTTTTGTGAAAGTCTTACTATGAATATTTATATATATATATAACTAGTTTTTTCTTTGGTATTATTTTTATGTGCACTAAGAATATAACTCTTGATAAGCTTATAAGAAAAGCATATGGACACAAAAATTCAGGTACTGTTAAAAAAACTGTATGTTTTATCTGTGATATAAGAATTTGTGATTCAGGGTTAATATGCAATTATTGAAAATATGATTATGTGACTGTGGAGAGGATTAGGGGTACCTCAGTTTAGCAGAACATGTTAACATATATTATTATACATGTACCTGTGATTTGCGATGAACGTACGTATATGTCTAAAGAAATTTTGAATTTTGTATGCCAGTGTTTATACTTCTTCATTTTGAAACTTTATACAACTCAAATATGAGATTACAGGGTAAACATTTCTTAATGCCCAAACATTTGTATTATAAATATACTGTACAGTGTATAGTGCTACAGTTTTACATATCATGTTTGTTTAGATCTCTAATTTTTTGGGAAAACAAATACATATCTTAATACGTTATTATCTGTTACATTTATTATCACTTTATAAAATATACATGTATATTCATTAATATTCTACAAAAAAAGAAAGATATTTGGAAACTAATTTCCTGCTCCTCAGAATGTTGCCACTTCATGTTATTTACTCAAGTTTCATATTTTGTATTAATTTTGTTTCTGTGTTGAAATAAAGATTGTTTAACAGTTATTTTTCTTTGTTGGTACATATGTACAGAAAAACAAAATACACAAAAAAAGGATGGAGTAAGAAGCTTCACCCTCTAACTGAAGATTTTTGATTAATAACATCACGGTTCTCTTGACAAGTTTGTTGTGTTTGATAGACAAGAACTTCAATCTCTTTGTCTAGTCAATTGAATAACATTTAACGGTCTGATTCTACACAGTCTTTATGTACACTTTAAATGACTTGGGGCATTATGGGTCATTTTCAGCATTTGCATATTTCAGATTAAATTTATTTACAAAACAAAATTGGGGCTTTCTTTTACTACTTCAACAACTAATTCTAAATCCCTGATGAGGCTGGAAATAGCCCTTATTGCCTCTAGTCCTTTGTGCCTCAGTTGCACAGGGTTCAGATACCCCCGAATAAGCCGTATAAGAAGGGAGGCATGTCTTATTTTGGTATAATATGTAAAATCAAGTTGAAATTCCTCATAATAGTTCAGGTTTGCATATTAATTCGTTTTCCTCACAGATTTAAGCTTATTAGCTGAGATTAACTTTATTTTAAAAAAATCAATCCATAGATCAACAGATTATTACTATAAAACACATTTGTCTTTATTAGATACTTTTACTTTCAGGAAGCTTCATTTCAAATTTCTTTTATCAAATTACATTTGCATTTTCAAATTTGAAAAGATATTTTGATTTTTTTTCAAATGGAGGGTATTTATCATTATGGAACATTAAGTAGACATTGTACTAAAATTAGTAATCAAATCTAAAGTGGAAAAGTTAACACCGGCAGCGGGCTGAATATGAATTTTACCGGCATAGGGTGATAGTTTTTTTGTGTAAATACATTATATATCATACAATTTAGATGGTTAAACTACATTCATAATACGGTGTACTACATTATATCATTGTGTTGGGTAAACATTGAATTAGCAATAAACTATCTTTTAGAATGTAAGAGACCTTAAATGAAATAACACATCAAATTTTTAGGTCACCTGAGCTTTAGATCAAATGACCTATTGCTATCCGTCTTCGTCCGTCATGTGTCTTCCGTTAATATTTTACATTTTAAACTTAAGCTGAAATACTAGCAAAGGGATTTTATTAATATTTCATGGGAAGGTTACTGACATCTCCCTGACCAAGTGTTGTTATTTTTCGGTTCGATCAGAAATCCAATATGGCCACCACGGCCGCCATTTTGAAAAACTATTTCAAACTTAAAGTCAAGTTCTACTGGGCCGATTGAACTGAAACATGGTAGGAATGATCGACTCATGGTCCTGATAAAGTGTTGTTATTTTTCGGGTCGATTTGAAATCCAATATGGCCTCCACGGCCGCCATTTTGAAAAACTATTTCAAACTTCAAAGTCAAATTCTGCTGGGCCGATTGAACTGAAACTTTGTAGGAATGATCGACTCATGGTCCTGACAAAGTGTTGTTATTTTTCCGGTCGATCAGAAATATAATTTGGCTGCCATGGCCGCTATTTTGAAAATAACTTTTTCAAACTTAAAAACAAGTTCTAATAGGCCGATCTAACTGAAACTCGGTCTAGGAATGATAAGCTCATGGTCCTGAAAAACTTAAGTTAACGTTATACTTAACTATTTTTTACTCAAATTGGTACATATTTCAACATCAAAAATAAATACTGTAGGACTCGGGTGACCGTTAAGGCCCATTGGCCTCTTGTTTATAATAATAATCTAGAACAAATTTGGTAATCGGAATGTGTCCAATAACTAAACCAGATTTGAAAATAATTAACTTCACGTTCATGTACCGGTATTATGTTGTTTATTTGTGTTGTTATGCACTATGTTGGCATCATTTATAAGGGAGGCAACTCGTTCAGTCTTGCCATCACCAGGTAGATGCACACATTCATTTGAAAAGATGACATAAAATGCACGTCAGTGAATGTATTCACAATATTCATCTTCAAACAGCTTATCAACACCATGATTTGTATGGTATCAGGACCCGGTTGCTCAAAGATTGGGCAACTTTCACCAATGATTAGTGAAAAAAAATCAAATAATTGCCAATAATATATAAGAAACAAAGGCGTTCAAAGCAAAATTAATCATCAAACACATTGATCTCTAGTAGACAACACATCTACATCTGTGAAATGATAGCAGAGGTTATTGATTTTGTTGTATTCATATTTTTAAATTTTCACGAATCACTGGTTCATGCTAACCAATCATTGATCAACCGGGACTAAAAGTATTGTTGTTAAATGGACGGAAGTGATGTGTGAATTCATATTTCCATTTTGCACGTAGAATGAAAGGTGGTTCTCTCAGTTCTAAGATAATATATACTGAAAAAACATCAATGCATCGGTACAACTGTGAAGACAGTTGCTACATGTAGTACAGGCATGTCTGAAATTCTCCAGTTCAAGTGTACCGACATGTACACTGAGTCAAGGTGTATCTGGCATTCTAGAATTCAAGCATACTAACATGTACAGGCCTAGGGAGGCTTAGGGGTTTGGGAAGATCTTTGGTTGGCGAATTCCTCAAAAGCTTGAAGAACTGATTCTGAAGCGGTATTATGAACTTTGCGGATGACATTTAACATTCACAGCTAATTTAGTGGCGGAAGAGATCAATAGATGTTCGCTCACCTGGATAAAAAGATAGGTTAATGAATGGTTTCTGAGAATGGGGAAGTTGATGGAAGGTTTTCCTACAGATGGTCAGAACGTTCCTAAATTGCTCTAGAGACCAGTAAAGAGCTTATGAAAGTGGTTCACGGGATCTATAAATGATAGAAGCACCATCCAAGAAGGTGGAAAGGGGTTTGGTTCCGTATGTTTATGTGTAACGTCCTATTAACATCTACATGTATGGCCTATTTAGGACGAGCCATGTTTTGGCGGTGGGAGAAAACTGGAGTTTCAGCTTGTCGCTGGAGAAAAACCACCGACCTGCGGACAGGATCTCAGTGGCTACTGTACATGTTCCATGTAGGTCTCGAACCACCTAGTGATCGCAGACAGCAAGACGCCTTAACCACCCGGTAATCCCGACCCCTATAAGGAATGGACAAGAGTGGAATACCAAGGAAATCGAAAGGTTGATGTGATATGTATACAGTTCCTTCAACGACCGAAAAGAACTGAGAACGGATCAACAGTCGTATGTCTGCGACGATTACTATTGCGAGTCTTAAGACAATACTGTATTACCTTCATGGACATGCATCACAAAGGAGTACGGGATCACAAATGTCATTATTTGAGTGCCAGAACTGGTGAACACGTGAGATGAGCACGCGATGAAATTCGGCCGGGGAAGAAATGAGACACAGGGAGGCTAAACATTACATAGGTGTAACACATCCTATATGAGATGATATAGGCCCATCAATAGATCTTCAAGAAGGTCATTGCCGCAAAATGTCTCACGTTACCTACCCACCTCGTACAATCATGCAGTGAGTACAGCAGGTCCAGTCTTACCGCATACATGTACGCATGCACGACACACATGGAGGCACGTCCTTAAATGAACTTAGCTGTTTATAGGACGTTCATGTATCTCATACGGGCTGGTGTCAGTGTATATAGTATGAGACGGGCTCATAACTTTTCCTCAAAATGAAAAAGATATGGAAGTTGCTTGGCATGCCCAGAGAGGATCAGAATAGCTACAGAGGTGTAACCTTACTTCAAGTTATTTTTAAAGTATTAGAAGTGATAAGTGCTGATATAATTAGTCCTACACATGTATTTTGAGCTCGGACAATTTTCCAAATAAACAGCAAACAGCATACCAGAAAAAAAACCTTGTAGCTTACTGTATGCACAGCATTTACGTTTCAAGAGTGCATTAAGTATAATAAGGAAAATAAGGAAAATGTCACTGTAGCATTTCTGGACATTAACAAGGCTTTTGATACTGTTTGGCATGCTGGATTGTTGTACAAGTTGCATGAAATTGGACTTAAATCAAAGACATGGGTTATCTTAAAATGTATTTACACTGGTGTGAAAAGTTGTATAATCGCTAATAACCATAACTCGAGGTGGGTTAATGTCCAAAGAGGTATCTTACAAGGAAGTGCATTGTCAGCAAAAGAGTACTTAGTTTGTTTTAACGATCTACTGAATTAAATAGAGAAAAGCGGTGAAGGTTGCACTGTAATCAGAATAACTGTAAATGTTCCTACTCAAGCTGACGATATCACGTTGATTGCTAATAGAGTTTATGCGAAAAATATAGCAAAAAATGAAGATTTGTATTTTCTGTGACAAAAATAATGAAATTTCATAATACCAAAAGAAAACCATTAGTAAATGATAATTTGTATCTCTATGATAACCCATTAGCATATGTTGATGATATTTTACTCATGTTGGTGTTGCATTAAATTCGAAATTAAATTCTTTCAATCGCACCTCTAGAGCATGTTGTCAGATAAAAAGTGGTACTATGAGGCTCATACGGAACGGTTTACATCCAAGAGCTTTAAAACCAATCAATTCATGTAACTTAATCAAGCATACGGTATATGCTTCGGTACTGTATGGTTGCGAACTTTGGTATTTGTCACGAACAGAAATTCTTATATTAGAACGGGCTTACAATTTTGTAATAGCATCTACATGTATACAAGGACTTGAAAGAGGAATCCGTACCGATGTGTGCTGTTGTCTAATTGGTCATCCATAGAAAGTATTATTGACGTCAAGAAATTCTTCTTCTTTGGAAGGCTATGTAGAATGGGCAGGGATACGTTGTCGTTTAAGATCTTTTTGAATCCATTGATTGCAGCAGTTCTGTTGATGGATACAAATTGTTTGATTAAAAAGCAAAGTTATTAAGAATAATTCAGAAGTATTGTCTGAACAAATATGTGCATGAATTTATAGATAATTGTAATTTTCCTAATAAGATAAACTGGAAAACTATCGTTTAAGTGTCTGTTTTAACCAAACAGGAAAATGATTTAAGGGAACGTATTTCAAATGACTATGATTTTAGCAAATT